GCCCAAAAACCATGATCATAGCATACAGAACAACAGCTTTCATTTAGCTAGCAGAACAGAAGATGGCGCTGTAGAGAGTTTGCGGGAGACCAGGAGTTGAGTGTTCTGTTGAGGTTCCACGCTGAGCGGTCATGATCCGTGGAGAGATGAATGTCCTCCAAAGCTCCAAAGTGTCCTAATCTTCACTGTTTCAGCTGTCCTAATATTTCATTCATTTCATTTTTGCTCCTGTTCCAAGGCCTCAGCAGAATTAGAATTAGACAGTCTTTATTGTCACTTTGTACACAGGGTGTATACAATATGAAATTTAGTTTTTTTACAGCTCTCAAGACGTTTCCATTTCTTAAAGTGGAGATAAAATGTAAACATAAGACTGAGATATGATTTACAGTTTTCCCAGCTTCCAAGCTTTTTTTTTTCTTAATTCATCAGTGTGATGGCGGTGGGGAAGAAGCTGCTGCAGAATCTGCTGGTCCTGCATTGAATGCTGTGAAGCCTCTTCCCAGAGGGCAGCAGGGGGAACAGTCCATGGTGGGGGGGTGAGGGGTCCTTGATGATGTCACGGGCTCGGGACACGCAGTGCTGGGATGAAATGTCTTTAATGGAGGGAAGAGGAGCCCCCATGATCCTCTCTGCTGTTCTCACCACTCTGCAGAGGAGATCAGGTTGGATTTAGACTTTGGATTAATTCTATTATCAGTTTTCCATTCAGATCATGCACAACCTGAACTATTCAGGTGTAATTGATCTGTCTTGAAATGTTGCACAAGTGCACAGACTGAGAAACTGACATTTTGTTCTGTTAACCAAATAACTAATTATTAAAATGTGATGCATGAGCTTTGAATCCATATGCTGATAAGTTCTTAAGTAACGGCGAATGATCAACAAGATCAAAGGCTGCACTGAAGTCCAGAAATGCAATACCTACAAACAGGGGCGGATTTAGGAAATTTGGGGCCCTAGGGAAAGACAGGCAGGGGGCCCTCTGAATGGAGAAGACATCAAACAGCCCCATTCTCCTGATAGAGAAATGTTAATAGAATAGACATCCATTATCTGTTCTAGGTTGTGTCCCTCTCTTCTTGTTCCTTTTCTTCTTGTTTTCCTCTCTATGTTTTGTACTCAGCTGACTTTTCATGCTGTCTCTAAAGGAATGAAAGATTTTTTCCAAGCACTAAGCTCACTTAGCTGATTGCTCCTTCCTGTGTTTCCAAAAAGGCCAAAGTAAATAACCCAGTCCTTCTTTTCACTGTAGACAAGCCATGATCTGCTTATCTGTTCTCCATTTTTCATTTGGATGAAATAATAGCTGCATGAATCATGACAGCAGACAACATAGAGGAGAGCAGGAGGCGGGGTTACCAATCTACTCGCTCTGGAGAGCAGAGTTCGCTGCTTTTAGATGTTGTCTCCAAAGTCTCCAGTAGCAGAAAAAAGTTGCTTGGTCTTGGTCTTCCTTGTCTTTTCTCTGATGTTCTCTGTATTTATGCTGAGGTCAAATCATAATACAGATAGAGATGTTAGGGTGACCTCTAGAGGTGAACTTTCTCTTTTGATGCCTTGAGTCACTGAATCTGTTTGCTAACGAGATAATTAGATCTACTAGATTTAAAAGGCTTGCAAAATAAAAACACTGTAATCTAAGGATTCGGTGGTTTTAGGCCTATTAGTCAAAATTTCTGTACAGAATGTAAAGAATTAGAAACATGCACAATGAGGAAAATAAGTATTTGAACACTATGCTATTTTGCAAGTTCTCCAACTTAGAAATCATGGTGGGTCTGGAATAGTCATCGTAGGTGTATGTCCCCTGTTAGAGACATAATCTGAAAAATAATAATCCAGAAATCACAATCTATGATTTTTTAACTATTTATTTGTATGATTCAGCTGTAAATAAGTATTTGAACAGCTGAGAGAATCAATGTTAATATTTGGTTAATATTTGGTCCTTTGTTTCCAGAGGGAAACGCTTCCTGTAGTTTTTCGCCAGGTTTGCACTGCAGCAGGGATTTTGGCCCATTCCTCCACACAGATCTTCTCTAGATCAGTCAGCTTTCTGGGCTGTCGATCCCTCCATAGATTCTCTATTGGGTTTAGGTCTGGAGACTGGCTAGGCCACACCAGAACCTAGATCTGCTTCTTCCAGAGCTGCTCCTTGGCTATCCTGGCTTATTGTGATGCTGGAAGACCCAGCCTCCCCCCATCTGCAATGCTCTAACTGAGGGGAGGAGGTTGTTCCCCAGAATCTGGCAATCATGGCTCCGGTCCTCCTCTCCTTAATACAGTGCAGTCACCCTGTCCCATGTCCAGAAAACACCCCAAAGCATGATGCTACCACCTCCGTGCTTCACAGTAGGGATGGTGTTATTCCTCCAAACAATTATTATGGAATTATGAGCAAAAAGTTCTATTTTGGTCTCATCTGATCACATGACTTTCTCCCATGACTCCTCTGGATCATCCAGATGCTCATTAGCTGCAGACGGCCTGACATGAGCTGCTTTAAGCAGGGGAACCTTCCATGCATGATATCAAACCGTGACGTCTTAGTGTGTTACCAACGGTAACCATGGAAACGGCGGTCCCAGGTCTTTCCAGGTCATTGACCAGCTCCTCCTGTGTGGTTCTGGACTGGTTTCTCCAACAGTGGAGCTTTTTTCACCTATAGTCCTCTCCAGCCTTGTGGAGGTGGACAGTTTAGTCTCTAGTGTCTTTGGACAGCTCTTTGGTCTTGGCCATGTTAGTAGTTGGATTCTTACTAGTGATGAGATGAGATGAGCTGAGGCTTTGAGGCGTGTGTTGAATAGTGGAAGGGGAGGGGCTGTTTCTTGTTTTTCCTCACTGTATATAATTTACTATATCAGCTGCAACAATTAGTTCACTGTATTTTGTTTTATCATATAAACAAATATGGTAAAACAAAATAGTGAATTAGATGTAGGGTTAATTAATAATGATAAATTTGTTAAATGTCATCTGATGTTTATCTATATTATTCTCTTGTATTGAGTAGAAATTAGGCGAACCGTTGTGTATAAAATAGTATGGGAGAAGAAAAGATTTTGCCAAAAGACATCCATCCATTTGCCGTCACTCTTATCCCTGCAGGGGTGGTGAGGGGACAGCTTTACCTCCAGCTGTCTATGGGTCCACCATGGACAGAGAGGAGGGGTCCAACCTGGACAGAGAGGAGGGGTCCATCCTGGACAGGTCTCCAGTCCCTCGCAGAGCAACACAGAGACAAAAAGGACAAACAACCGTTCACACTCACACCTAAGGAGAATTTAGAGAAGCCAATTAACCTAACAGTCATGTTTTTGGACTGTGGGAGGAAGCCGGAGTACCTGGAGAGAACCCACGCATGCTCAGGGAGAACATGGAGACTCCATGCAGAAAGACCCTGCTTGGTGGCATAAAGTACAAAAAAGTATAAAACAAACTCAAATTAAAGTAGCAGTAATTCATAAAAATAGTCACTTGTATTTACAAAGAACAAATCTGATCAATTTAGGACTTATATTTATTATATAAAACTCTCTGCATTGGTTTGACCAGGAGATCTTTCGCCCCACATGATCTTTTCACTTTAAATCAAAGGTGAGAAAGCTCCCAGTGGATGTCATGATCCAGATCAAAATCATATAAAAATACAGAGCTGCATATCACAAAAAATGCAAATATGGCAGAAAACACATATGAACACTTTTAAAGTAATTCTAATGATTTTTATAAAACAAAGTAGTCGGAACTTGACAGTTTAGCACCACCTAATATTTGACAAGCATTATCAAAAGTAATGTTTTCTTACAAACTTATCTAAGCACTTCTTAGACAACCTCAAAAGGAGACACTCATGGTTTTTAAATTACAGAGTCCTTCTCTTTGGGGTTGTCTAGGTGGTGAGTTTATCACCCACACTATAGAAGGAGTACCACTACTGTGGAATATGTTTATGCATTTAAACTTATTTTAGATATATAATTCAATCTTAATCGGAGCTAGTCTTGTTTTGAAAGGAAAATGTCACAACAGAACTGTTTTTGTCTGACTTTGTCAAATATGTTCCCACATCTCCATCTTGGTCTCCATTTATTTCTCTAACTTTGCCCTCTTAGCTCCCAAAGGGACGTCGAAGGACAAACAACCAATAAACTTCCACATTTGCACTAAATCATTGCTTTTGTTTACATGTAACTTAGACTTAGCTTTCTTGTCATTTTGTATACACAGAGGGTATACAAAACAACATTTTATTTTCTACAGCTCTCATGACATTTCCACTTGTTAAAATGCAGCAGGGATCAAATGAAAACAATGTGGGAGAAAATAAAAATAAAAAAAAACTTACATAATATTTATGTTTAGCTATTTAGCAAAATGTTTGTAGTTTTTCTTAATTCAGTGTCCTTTTAGGGATCCCTTTGTCTTTCTGTTTTGGTTTCATGTTTTTTTTTTTTTTTTTTTTTTTTTTTTTAACAAGACAAAAATATAAAACCGTCATCTTTTGCAGTACACAGTCTGTCCACCAGGTGGAGGCAGAGTCATTGTAACCAAGATCAGAAAGTTCATAATAACAATTGTTTTTTCATTAAAATGTAATTTGTTTAAAACACCTTTTTCATCAGTATCCTATAACTAATAATGAGACTGAATTGTTTGCTGCTCTGAAGCTGCGTCATAAGGGGAGAGGAGGAAAAACATGAGGAGTTTCCTGACTGCAGAGCAGCTGTTTCCTCTCCTGTTTTATTCATGAATGATCAGAACTGTCAGGTTTTCTTTCCTAACAGTGAATGCATAAAGGATTCACTCCCTCCAGAGAAACATCCTGCATGTTTTTTCTGCATCTTCACCGCCTTTCTGAGCTGGATCCTGTTTCTGCAGCTGCAAACCTGCGGGAGGATGTCCACTTTCCCTCCTCCTCTTCCCGCACAGCAGGGAGGAGGAGAAAGGGAGGAGGAGGAGAAAGGGAGGAGGAGGAGAAAGGGAGGAGGAGCGCTCAGAGGTCTGACGCAGTGTGCAGCTGCTGCCTCACTTCCACTCCCCGCTCCCCGGAGGACGCAGGGCGGCTCTGGAAGCCATCGAACAGCGCGCTCCTCCCGGACAGCCGGAGCCCGAGGGCGGCTTCAGCGCACAGCGATGCCGGCTGCGACGGTCCGACAGCAGGCGGAGCGCGGGCCTCAGGTCCGGGCTTGAAGCTGGAGAATTGGCGTTATTGTTTGCTGTGTGGCGCAGGAGAGGAGGATGTCTCCGCAGCCACTCCTCCCATTTCTTCCACACTTGTTTATTACCCGAAACCAAGAGGCTGATTTCTGCCTTCTGACTCTGGGTTTGTTGGTCGGAGAAACTTGGTCCACCATGCTGCCTGCTCAGGAACCATGAGAACTCTCAATGAAAACAACCAGGAGGAGGAGGAGGAGGAGGAGGAGGAGGAGAATGGGGGCTCTGGGTGCAGCGCCATGGAGGAAAAGGAGAACAATCTGAGAACTGCCCGGCTGTGGAGGGATGCCGCGCTGCGCTCCAGGAAGCTGCGCAGCGACCTCCGCCAGCTCACCCTCTGCTCCAAGAACAACCAGATCATCCTACCTGACAACATATCCGACGTAGAGGTGCTCAACCTGGGGAACAACTGCCTCCAGGAGCTACCGGACGACCTGCAGTCCACCTTCAACAACCTGCGCATCCTCATCCTCCGCAGGAACAGGTTCACTGCTGTGCCCAGGGTGGCGCTGGAGATGGGCCAGCTGGTGGAGCTCGACATGAGCCACAACTGTCTGCGAGGCCTTCCTGATGGTGTAGGGCAGCTGAGGGGCCTGAAGAAGCTGTGCATCAGTCACAACAAACTCCAGAACCTCCCAGCTCAGATTGGACTTCTTCAGTCTTTGGAGGAGCTGGAAATCAGCTTCAACGACCTGCATGACTTCCCCAGGTCCTTCAGCAGCCTTGGCAAGCTGCGAACTCTGGATGCAGATCACAACAAGCTGAACCAGTTCCCCGCTGAGATCCTGAGCCTGGGTGAGCTGGAGGAGCTGGACCTCTCAGGGAACAAGTTTCAGGCTTTGCCAGCGGACATTATGAGGCTGAAGTCCATCAAGATCCTGTGGCTGAGTAGCCTGCACATATCCTCCTTACCCGACACTTTCTGTCACCTGCACAACTTGGAGAGCGTAATGCTGGATGGAAACAACCTCACAGTGCTGCCTTCATCATTTGCTCAGCTTAAGAGACTGAAAATGATTAATTTGTCCTCCAACGAGTTTAAGGACTTTCCACAGGCTATCATCCACATCACGGGATTAGAGGAACTCTACCTGAGCAGGAATAAATTGACTCATATTCCAGAGGAAATCTCTCAGCTGGTGAAGCTGGTAAACCTCTGGCTGGACAACAACAGCATCACTCATCTCCCCGATTCCATCGTGGAGCTGGAGAAGTTAGAGGAGCTCGTCCTACAGGGTAACCAAATAGCCATTCTACCTGATCACTTTGGGAAGCTGTCCAGGGTTAACATCTGGAAGGTGAAAGATAATCCTCTCATTCAGCCTCCATATGAGGTGTGCATGAAGGGCATCCCTTACATCGCCATCTATCAGAAGGAGCTTGCGCAGTCTCAGGTTGCGGTGAAGCCGTGGCTGAAACTGGTCCTGATGGGGGCGAAAAATGCTGGGAAAAGCCAGCTGAGGCAAAGCTTGGTAGGAAGTGAGACGGACATCAGGGGAAGCCAGGCAAAGAAAGGAATCGAAGTCACCAACTGGGTGGCGGACTTTGAGCGCCATCTAACATTCTTGGTGTACGACCTGTCAGGGAACCTAAACTATGACCTCATCAAACCCTTCTTCCTCTCCCCCGGTGCTCTCTATCTTCTCGTCGTCAACCTTAAAGCTTATTCACCCCAGAACTTTTATGCCAGCGTGGGGTATTTCCTTCACCTGCTGTGTGCTAAGGTCCCCCACGCGGTGGTGTGTTTGGTTGGCACGCATGCAGACCTGTGTGGAGAGAGGGAGGTGGAGGAGAAAGCTCTGGACATACACAGACAGATCGGCTTGCAGGAGATGAGTGACATCCACTGCCTGAGGAGCCTGGTTCAGCAGGTGGACCTCTCTCTGGAGCAAGGCCACAAAGTCCGTACCTCTAGTCCACATGTCCTCTTCTACGGCGTGAGCGACAGAAACCTGAGGCGCAGGAAAGCCCAGCTGCAGTACATGCTGAACCAGCGGCTGCAGATCCTGTCCCCGGTTCTCTGCGTCAGCTGCACAGAGACCCAGAAGAACATCCAGAGACTGAGGGAGAAGCTCATGTCCGTTGCGGACCACCGGGAGATCTTCCCCAACCTTCACCGCGTGCTGCCAAAGTCCTGGCAGATGCTGGAGGAGTTGCACTTTAAGTCCAAAGATCTGTGGCTCTCATGGCGGAGCTCCGCCCGCCTGGGCCTCCAGGCCGGACTGACGGAGGACCGACTGCAGAGCGCCTTGTCCTACCTGCACGAGAGCGGGAAACTGCTCTACTTTGAGGACAGCATCACACTGAAGGAGTATGTGTTCCACAATCTTCCACGTTTTATTGCAATCCTTAATGTCTTCTTTCAGAGGGACAAGTCCACTCTTTTGGACCGGCTGCTTTCTGAGGGGGAAAGGGGGGACAAAGGCAGAGTGAGTCTGGTTATTGAGGATGAGAAGGGAGAGAACCTCAGGGTCACCCATCTTCAGCAACACCTGGAGGGCTTCCTCCATGACGGGCTCTTGCCTTCCAACGTCATCCGCCTGCTCCTTCGACCGCACATCCAGACACAGCAGGACCTCCACCTAATCATGGAGCTCATGGAGAAGATGGGGATCTGCTACTGCATCAACAAGCAGCGCGCCAAGCCACTGAACGGAGCCACGGTGTGGTACAAGTTTCCCAGCTACGTCAGCAGCGAGGAGGCCCGGTTGGAGGACTCCACCGGAGGAAACTCTCTGCCTATTAGCCCCTTGTTTTCAGTGGAGCAGCTTTACATCCAATACAACTTCCCCTTCCTGTTTCCTCCTGGACTCTTCGCACGCTTCAGTGTGCAGATCAACCATCACGTGGTGCAGCGGTCAGACGGCAAGTCGCAGATATTTGCCCATCGGGGTAAAGTTCCGGTGGTGATCAGCTACCAGCCCTCCAAGGGGAAACTCTCCACTGACACACTGTCCATCGCCAGCCAAGCATCACTGCCTAACATCTGGACTGCTTGGCAGGCCGTGACTCCGCTGCTGGAGGAGCTGAACATGCTCCTGCAGGAGTGGCCTGGCCTGCACTACTCAGTGCATATTCTCTGTTCCAAGTGCCTGAAGAGAGGGTCGTCCAACCCGCACGCCTTTCCTGGTAAGTCCTGAGCGCTGCTACAGGCTGAGCTCACCTGGGGGGGGGGTATAGTCATCTGCGTCTATTAAGGCGAGTCAGAGAGCTGGGAGTGGAGCAGGAACTATTCAGCAAACACATTTTACTGCACATTCAATGACAGGGTAAACATATTGAAATGCTGCAGAGTTACCTGCAGGGTTTAGAGGTGAGGATCTTTAAGGGTTTAACCACCATTGGTCTGTCTAGATTCACATAACCAGGTTATTGCAAAGGTCTGTCTGTGGAGCGTGCTGTGCCCCCCCATGGACTTCATCTGATCCGCTGGGTAAGAGAAGTATGGAGTTAGTCAACATTTAGAGAAGAAAAGCATTAAACCTTCTGATCCTGAACCATGGAAACCCATCAAGAAACAAAAGCAACATTGGTTTGTTTTGGTTTACTTTATGATTTAATTAAATGACTTAGTAATCTGATGGCCTTTTAATGCGATGTGATGTCTTTGTCTCCTTCAGCTTTAACGGCTTTATGCATCATCAGAGGTTCACTGTGGGACACGTGGTGGTTGTTGCTGAGGCAGATGATGGAGATCTGTCCAGAGTTTCCTGTTTTGCCTTTAATGTCAGACGCAGATCTGGTTTGAAATGAGCTGCAGCAGATTCAGCCACACCCTGATTCAGAGCGCAGCTCTGCAGAAGATGGAGCCAGATGCCTCTGCTGGGGGGGGTGGAAAAATGCTGCTGCCTCTGACATTAGGTTAGACGGCTTCAGGAGCCCCGCCCGCCTCAGGGACAGGAATAATCCTCATAGCTGGTGGGGCTGCAGCTGCACCATGACCTGCTTTTAGAGCTGGGCTGTGGCTGCGCTGGCGGCAGGGGGAAGCTGGTCAGCTGCTGCTGAAGGCCGCGCCGTCATGTGATCCAAGCTATGAAGCTTTCAGTGCACTCATTTAACTAGATTTACCCCATTTAGATGCTCAGGGTGAGCTCACCGCAGCTTTGCACGCTCTCACAGCTTATTAGGAGAATATCCTCGTGTTGGAGAGAATAACCTGGGTGGTCAATGTCCAGATGATTATCACTTATTGGAGGGGGGGGCAGTTTCAAATCTAAATAAATACTTCAATGGCCTTAGTGTTCCACCATTTTTCCAGTTTTCTTCTGTTTGTTTTTTTCAGATTAGATGAAAAACCTAAAGAACTAAAGATAAGAACTAAATCTTAGTGTTCATCCTGTTGCCTGTTTGAGACCCTGCTGCGGTCGTTAATTAGTGGTGGGTATTGGCAAAGAAGTCACGATTCGATTCGAATCACGATTCACATGCCACGATGCGATTCTATCACGATGCATCACGATACTTGAAATATTGCGATGCATCGCGATGCATTGCGATATTTTCACTGAACACTGTAAGAAAAAGATGCAGCCCTTACCAGTGGCTGACTGGCTGTGTGTGATCTGGATCGTGTCTTCAATTGATACATAACTGAAAGCAACTGAATTCATGCACAGCTGTATTTATTGAAATTACTTTAGGAGGTGTTGCCATGGAAACAAATACTGGACAGAAATATTACTATTACTGGCGTGGACACACTGACAAAAAGATCTTAGGATTCATCAAACTTAAAATAACAAAATAAGGATAATCAGTGCCGTTTACATGGCCTCAGTGGTCCTTTAAACCAACGAAACAAAAACATTCAAATGTATATTTCCCCGTTTTCAAATTACGTGCATCGTATCAATTTCATTTTTACCTTCTTTGTTTTTAAAGCCTAAATGCATCCAAGCATCTGACTTGAAATGTCCTCCATATTTTATTTCATATGACTCGTCGCAGTATCCCAGGGCCGGAAATGCTTGTGACGCAAAGCAGCGGGCGCCAACACATCCGCAGCGACATCTGCTGGACTGGAAGTTGTATTACACTTGGTTTGGCTGATGTGCACGAACTATTACTGCATTTTATTTGTTCATTTTTTTTATTTTTTTATAATCGATTCTTGCCTTCAAGAATTGACGCAGTAAATCACAAAAATTAGAATCGCGATGCATCGTCATGAAGATTATTTTGCTAGTTTGCACACCCTTATCGTTAATCAGAGGGTCCGATGGCGTGGAGTGTATGGCCGCTCAGCTTCTATCAGTCTGGCCCAGTGTAGCTGTGGCCACAGTGGAGCGTACCACCATCAGTGTGTGAAGGACTCGATGTGCGTGAAGAGCTTTGGAATCCTTGGACCAAATTAAAAAGCGTCACCGTTTACCTGCCAACACTGAACTGAGAGCTGGGTGTGAATGGCATAGTTATACCCGGAGGAAGAAGAGGTACAGATTACGTCAGAGGTAAGCGGTTAAAAATCAGTGGGTTACGAAGAAAGAAAATCAACCAGTTAAGGTCCGGAGACATTTCTAATTAGAATCTGTTGCTTTAAACAGAATTTAACGCTGAAATAAAATGCAGGTGTTTATGCATCCATGTTATACATTTAGGCTTTAAATGAAAAATAGAACAATTTTCCATTTTAAAATCTAAATTATTATTGAAGTTGAAAACAACAAGCTTCAGTTTGGTATATAGTATAATTTATAATTTCCTGATTCCCATATTTTCTCAAACCCCTGAACTGATGGTTTGTTATTTTCTTTCTTTTTTCTGTCTTAATGTTGGCAGTGGGCTTTAGGCTGCCCTGCAAGGCTTTAAACCTGGGTTTAACCGGAGACTAAGCCATTCTCAAGCACATATCAAGGAGCTCATTTTGATAAAACTATGCCAACTAGTCATTTAACCTGTCACATGGGGACACAAAAGCAACCTTTTCATTCTAGATAAAATATTCAACAGGACTTTTTGGTCAGTTTGTCTGGATCATTTTTAATTTTTTTTCAAATAAAGAAAAACCCCTAACTTTAGCAAAACAAGGATGGATATATTTTCTTCTATGGGATATTGATATTGAGACTCGAATGAGAAGCGAAAACTATTCTGTTATTCATATTAAGTTAAATTCTCCCTTTACTCTGCGGTGCATTTGGATATCTAGGCCTGTAATCTCCTCTGAGCTCTTCTGGGCAGGTCTAAGGCCCCTCACACCTGCTTTTAAGCATTCCTTCCTTCTATTAGGATATAAAAGTTTCTATTATATATAATATTGTGTAATATTCCTAGGTTTTGTTTTTGATATTTGTATACATCTGTCTACTGTGTGTTCATGCGATATTCCCATTTTTATTGTGGGTGATTGGTTTTTTCTAGCTGTAGTCATCCTGTTGAAAAGCTGAAATTCCTTTTGTGGAGCTCGTTCTGCTCCAGCAGATCAGCGAACAAAAAGAAAGGCTTTCTGGCTCATTGTGCGCTGGCAGCCATGCAGGTATTTCCTCCTGCTCGTTATATTAAGAAAGAGAAGCTGGATTAGCTTTTTTGGGTAAAGTTCAGCGGTGCTCAGAGGAAACAGGCTGGAAGGAAAGTGTCTCCTGGATGGAGGCTGGTTCAGGACTGAAAGGGGGAATTTGGAAAAGCTGAGTTGCAGTAGTTAATATAACCAGGCTGCAGTCTGAGCAGAGGCAGCAGAAAAAAGAAGGTTTGAACTCCAAGGTGCGTGTGGAGATCTGCTCCGGCCTTTTATGGTCATGATATTCTTGGCTGCAGCGTGTTGATGCAGTTCAGACCCACAGAGACTAAACACACTTTGTCCTCAGATGATCTGCTCCATCTGACAACAAAGCGGGTCTGTTAGCGTTTTTCTTTGTCTTCTCTCCAGGACCCTCATGTCAAAGGTCTGATTGCTCTAAATACTTCCTGCTCTCAAAATCAGCAGATTTTTGTGTTTATTGTTTAGTTTGGTCTTTTCTTACTGTAGGATCTTTGTATAAAGGCTTATTTGGATGGTTGTGGGGATTATTTATCTCTGATCTCTATTTATTCACTGGATTGCTGATTTCCCAACAAAAGCAAAGCCACCAGCCGCCATATTGGTACTCCCCGCTCCCATGGAGATGCGCAGTAAATGAGAACATCATCATTGTTTGATGCTGTAGCACAGATTGTGTACATTAAACCCGGTCTAACTACGGAGTACCAATATGGCGGCTGGCGGCTTCACTTTAACCCCATAGTACCAACGATCAGTAATCAGGGAATAAATAGAGATCAGTGTTCTTTCTACATTCACCATATTGTTGCCTTTTCTCAGCCTCCAGGTGTAGAGCCCAGCATGTAACAGTGTGGGTCACAGTGAACAGGTTTCACGATGATGTGCAAACGCCGTGCCGACGCTTGAACTTGTTGCAAATGAAAAAAATTCCTTAGATTGCAAAAAAAAAACAATAAAAAAATGAGTGGTTTGGGATTCTGCTCAGAACATTAACAGGAATGACAGCAATGCAGCTTCTATGTGTTCTGTTTCTATTCTTCCTGGTGTCCTGGGAGCTCTGGTGGCTGCAGGCCATCCCACGGTGGACGCCCTCTCTAAGCCTCTGGAGGATCTGAGCTCCAGAATTAGACAAACATAAAAATAGAAGAAGCAGAGCTGATGCTGAGCTGGAGGCTCAGGATCATCAGGAGCTGTCAGCGGAGGATTACTGCTGCTGGCGGCGGCGTCGCGGCGCTGCCATGACCTCTGGTGTATGTAAAGCACTTTGGCTTCAGGAAGTCACTAAGAGGAAAACATCAAGTCATGAAGCTCTAGGTGAAGGAAGGGAACGTCCAGGTTTGGGAGCCTGGGTTCGATATTCCTCCTCCTAATCTGAACTCCTGAAGTCTTTTCACTTTGTTGTGGAAGCCGACAGCTGACAGACAGCCTGGTTTGACGTCTCAGATCAGCACCGGTTCTTCCCTTTGTGGATTCAAACATAATTTAACTGAAAGCTGAAACATAAACCAACAGATTACTGTCAGACGAAGATAAAGCTGTGAGCAGCAATGGAACCATACGAGGCGGACCGCCGCCTGGACCGAACCCTAAAGGGATTGCTTCCTGTTGGTCTCTGTCAGAATAGTGGCCCCCGCTTATCTACAGATGTTTG